TAGCATTTCCATTGAGGTTCGAAAGTGGTAATAATAATTATTGTTCTGGTTTCCACAACAGGTTTACCCTGACATACATGATATTTCAACTTTGAATCGAAACACTAGTCAGTTTGTTTACGTTAATCACATATAATTTCCACAGATAACATAAACTTGTATGTCAACTTTTATTCATTGCGCGATAATCCGATGATGGATACCTGTCTCTCATCCGACGAATGGAATGGAGCAATATTTCCTTTTAATTAGTTTTTCCCCATGGGTTTACACAGTAGAATTATTACATAACGTTATTATAATTTACAAGTGATTATGAAAATACAGTCAAGAGACTAAGAAATTGAACGTAGTTTATATTAATTATGATAATAAAAATATTTATTAGTAAAAATTTAGAACAAATGATCTAATGATTGGCTGATTATATATTTTTCTAGGCAATTCACAAAATATTTTGATAACAGTCCAATTTCACAAAAGAATGAAAATCAAAATTGAGTACGAATACAAAAGTGAGGGAAATTTGGGAAACATTCAAGAAAATAGAGTAAATTTATGCTTTGACCCATTTTTAGATGACCTTTATTATTAACCAAAGTAGATAGAGGGGTTGTATAAGCTTCTTGTGATCAAAAACACTAGATATATCAATGAGAATTTTAAAAGCTTAAGGAATAAACAAAAACTCAACCCATAAGCCATGTGGTAAACTATCTGTTCAAGTCAGCTCGAGGTCCTATGTCAACCAAGTAAGTTAGAATAGAGCTCTCAAACACCCTTAATTGTCTTTTATTCAGCCAGGCAGTATGGTGTTCAGTGATAAGATTGTAGGACTGGCTTAGCTCTATGCTATAAATGACTCACTTTACAAGAGCACTCGAATTTGCAAACGGACGTCAGTGTGATGAATTCTGGTAGATCATCTTTGTCGTTTCTGTTATCTGACAACTATAAAAGCAGTCCATATTCAGCTTGGCTGTTTTCTAAACAACTTTTCTTAACCTTTGTATAAGTATAGATTGCTTATTTAAGCAATAACAATAATGATTAACCACCATTTGGTAAACTTATACTTGGTTATACCCTCTCCATGCTTTTTTCGACCTAAGGGACAGTGTTCGTTTGAAATAAAATTTGATAAATATACTTTCAAGGTAAAAAATCACAAAACGTTTATTCAGAGTCAGTACTGAATAAGAGAATCAAATTATTAAATGGTCATCTAAATATTCTGGATAGTTCAAAAAAGTGAATTGATTAGTATAAAAATTATAACCAGAATGTTTTTATTAGTATGAAGATTAAAATATAATTTATTGATCTAGTAAGTATTCAGAAGAAAGTATCGACTTGATGGTTGAAATATACTACTTTGAAAAGTTGAATTTCATTTTAAGACAGACTATCACCGTTTTGGTTATTACACTCCATACAAGATACTAACTTTCTACTGAGTATAAACAATTTTGCTGGGTTATTATATTGTTCACTGTATCAGTTGATACATATTGAAAAGAACATTGATCATGGACCAAGACCAACTAGAGTATTACAGAATAACAAACTCCACTCAACAGATAATTTCTTCTAGTCTAAGACCTGCTGAATAGGTTTCTGCATCATGTACATTACCGTTTGAAAAGAATCCAGGTACGAAATAAGTATTCAGTTTGTTTTACATCAATCTGTTTGCATTAATTTTCGAGTCTCTACAAGCTATGACACTTGTCAAATACTAATATGTTAGCATAATTTCACACATACTTTGTAAAATATATTTTAGTTTGTATTCAATGAAATTTTTAAAAAGAATATTCATTATTAATCAGAATTTGCAACTTTGTACCATTGATAATCAGGATTGTAGTTGATTACTTTACATATTCTAAGTTGATTACCTTAATTTAGATATATTATACGTTTTAGTGTGTTTGAATTTCGGTCAAAAAAAGGGACTAGGACGTGTATTCTATCTTATTTAGGATTAGTGAAATCTTTAATAAAATGTTCATTAGGTATTTTGATCTAATAGCTTATAAGATAATTCTATGAAGTTTGAATCAACAGACATTTGATTTAAATCTCAGTAGAGAACACCAGCACTGAGATACTTGTACATTCAACAGACGAGTCAATATAGTACGAAATGTGTTTCTGGGATCCCACTGCTAGTCATACACCTCGGAGTTATCAATATTTCTAATATTATCCCAAATATTATTTCATTTGTAAAAACGGTTTAAAAAAAATTTGATATAAATATTATGTGTAGAATGAATATTGGATGAAATCTTTGTTGCAACGAATCTATGTATAAAGTCTAATGAATTAGATTTGTAAGCGGTAAAGTTTTAGTATTAATGTAACCAGATTTCAAAGAACGGACAGATCAAATTTAACAGTATTTTTTCAAAAGTTTAAGCTAACATAAATCTGGAAGATTAAATTGAGATCATACAACCAACTATGTTATATATGTATTCGGCATTAATTATGTTGTTTGGAAACAGTAACCGATCTAACAATTATACCATATACTATACCAGAGAAGCAGAATAACTATAAAGCATTCATTTGAGTTATAAGTTCTTATATTCTTCATGTGAATATTACCTATTTTAGTTTTGCAAACATATCAGTCTTTCATTTGAATTAATATAAAAATATCATGGAAGAAAATATAGAAGTATGCTAACTTTTCAACAATGAGTAATGAAGGCTCTATGATAAATTCTCAGTTCTAGTGGCAGAATATATTACATTTTAATAAATAATTTAACATTTAATGTTTCATAATTTGTAATCTCAATCAACTATTTAAATTGAGAAATAATCATTCCATTCAATTATCATTTTGCAGATTGCAATAGAAGGAAAAGAAATCAGCTTATATATATACTGAGCTAATTATCAAGCAAAGCGTAGTTTTTAAACTAACAGAAGGTTTATATCTAAAATCAAAATAGATTATAATTTTCTTTTCATTGAGTTTTTTTTAATCCTTTCAACAAACAGAACAAATGTGTCATTCACTATTCAACATCCATATGATGCAACGATTATTAAGTGTGACATTAAGGGAATGTTTGAAATATCAAAAAAGGAATCAAAACATCAGTTTGTTTATTGTATACCTCAGTATACTTTATTAATTATTTGTATGTTTACTAATAATTTTCCTAGAAAATAATTAATCAAATTATAGAATATGAGGAATTTGTTTTGAAGATGTTTATATGGATTAGTTTATTTTACTTATAGTAGAGGCAAAACTGGAATAAAAAGCAATTTCGTACTAAAAAATAAAAACTCTCAAAAAATCAGTACTATTTTCTCATTGATTAGTGTAAGGGTAAATCGCTAAAATAAAAGAAAAATTAACGCGAGAAAAAGTCTACTTTGAACAACACAGACATGTTTTTACAGGTACGAAAATCATGTGCATGTGACTTCACTAAATGTCAGGTTATATTGTCTTTTTTCTTTTTGCACAATATCCTGATAACAGAACAACAATGAATTTTCTGGTTAAAATAGTTCATTAACAAATTGTTTTCCCTAACAATTTTCATCATTGAATCTTGGAAGAAATTACGACATTGAATTTGTCTTAAAATCGAACACAGAATGTATTTCACTTAATTATCTACTGAATAATTGCCATTTCAAGTTTATAAAATATTATTAACCACAGATACTGAGTCGCAATCCACTTTTATGGATATGATGCTGTACACTGTATGTATTTGTAAAATCCAGTTGGAAGATAAAAAGCACTTGACGCTCACCTATAAATTTTATTTTAATTCATAGAGTTGTATTGTTAACCGTTATATAATCGACTGTATGATAAAGTAAAAAGGTACGCCATATAAGAACTTGACTGGAATCTCAGTCAAAACGAATTCTTAAACAATATAATTCAAGTATACAATACGATTTTTAAGAATAACTCATTAATTTCACATAAATGACACAAGGAAACTATTTATTATTAAACCTTTGACTTTGATGATTATCAAATTGTCTTATTGAAGATGATTGTTAATTAAATGTAAATCGAATTATTTTTTTCGACAGAAAGTATGTTCCTTACCAAGAAATGATGTTTTAAATTTTCAACTGACCCATCAAAATATAAATACTCTTAAGAATCATCTTCCTTATAATGAATTTATAATAATAATAATACAATTCTTTATGTCAAGGTAGATAACGTTTGAGATAATTTTCAAGTTTATTTTTACCGCAATAAATGTCAAAGTATCCTGCACGTTTAGTAATCATTGACTTTTCTCTATAAATATCAAACTATTGAACACGCCCTTGTATCGTTAAGTGATTTACTAAATGTAATGGATTATATGTGATAAAAAAGGTGTTACTGTCTCAGAATAAATAAAGAAATATTTGTTATTGACTGTTGTCACTCAGTTTCTCAGTGAATAACTTCTCCATATTTGAAATGATTCATACCAAATTCCATCTGAGGTTAACACTAAGAAGCTGGTACATCCAAATAAACGGTTGTAAACATCAGCTACTTCTCAAAGTTGAATTATTGTGTAATAACATCATTTATATGGGAGGATTAGTCTTGGTTTAATATCAATATCACTGATTTTGGTGGGTTAATTCAAATATAAACTATAAAGGTATCATCATTCTTGTAAAGGTTACAGGAGCACGTTTCTGTTGAATGTAAATCAGTGTGAAATATAAAATTTTTGAAAGTCGCCTCCAACCGCTTAAGATACTCTACATTCGACATCCATATTGTAATGTTAAATTAAATAGATCAGTATCTAATGCATTTTCACAAATGACATTGATATTTTAACCGTCTAGCTGTTACGGAACAGTCACATTCCATAATAAAAATAAATTTCTAAGGATGCTTTCTATACCGAAATTAATATATATTCTAAAACATACATTCATATTAGTTTCACTAATAAAAATATCCTTGTTTTAATGATTAGAAATTTATTAATTACCGTGTTTCATCGCCCAAACTTTCAAATTCACCAGAATATTGTTTTAAAACTTCTTTTGATTGACTTTGAGGAAAACGATTATGAAATTCGTAGTTTGTAATCATATTTAGATACGGTTTGTATTGACTCAATCCAACAGAATGACTATTGTTACACTGTGATGAATTATTTAATTGTGATGACTCATTACTGTAGATATTATTATGTAAAGACATTTATTAACTGGATCACTGGGTTGAACTATGTAAGTTGATAATAATATGATCGGCTGTGAACTTCTTGATGTTTAGTTTGAATGATGGTAAACAACAATTGATGATCAGCCATATGTCTTGTTTGCCTATTTTTTTCGGATTACCGAAAATGCTGAGAAAATTGTTGTTAATTAATATATTACAGTTGTTGAATTTACCCAATGTCTATTTTAATGTTTTTTAAATTTTACGTAAGGAAATAATTCATTGTGTTGATAGGGAAATATTCCAAATAGAATCAAAAAAGGTTTGCAACAATTTGTAACACATAAATTTAAAATTGGAAGTTCATCATCATTATTGCAAAAACAAATATTTATGTATGAAAATTTATAAATTATGACTTTGAATTCGTTTGATTGGTTTATTTCTAAAATATATATAATTTATGGAATAAAAGAACTGTGATTGGTTAACTTTCGGATAACTTTATATAATGTAGCCCTTTATATAAAAGTAATACAACGAGTAAAAAAAACAACTGATGATTAAGACAAAGATTGAATATATATGTGTAATGAAAATCTGATAATGAATTTAAAAATACGCAAACATTAAAAGAAGAGATTGACTTCTTTTTTAAATAAATATCGTTTTCACTCTGACACAATTTAGGTCAACTTTTCTTGATCTGAGCGAAATAAATAGAAATGTGAATTTTTTGTAACACCACTATTTGGCTTCATTATGAATTTCAGTTATTCTAAGAAATCAATAGATAAACTTAAATTTTAGGTAGTTTGAAACTTTTTTCGAGCCATAAATATATGGTTGACTTTTAGATATTAACTGATATGTAACAATTTAATACCATTAAAATCACGTAACGACATATGTTAGATAACTGTTGAAAATCCAGGAGCAATAAAATGTAGTTCAAATGAAGTACCTCAATGTCTAATCAAACTAAGAAACTTAGGTTTCGAATGTAGTGCTTAATATCTGAACAGACGAGTCAGCAACCGATCATTGGATGCCAAATTTGTGGTCTAGAAATTAAGCGTTCACCTGCGAGAGTGAGGGTCGTGCGTTAAATTCCTGGTAGCGGAATCGTAGACACGTACTTCTGTGGTGTCCTACACAATGATTTACAATGCTTCGTATGCTATATGGACTTTCGGCTAACATTTCATCCGAACTATTATTTCCCTCACACCCAGTGTCATCCGTATTCACTCTGATTACCAATCTCAAAATTCGATTTAATTTATTCAAGTTACCAGTGCCTATTAATCATTTCAACACTAAAAATGTCATTTTATTTTGTAAATACGTGAGCTGTGATGTGGAACAGCGTTTTCGCCTTAAACGTTTCCCATTTTTGGACTACTAATTTGAATACATAACTGTAGAACATGATGGCAGTTTATTGAAACAAATATTCTGCATTCATATGTCTGTGTTTTGAATGAAACGATTATTTGGGATCTTACTACACATAAATAAATAATTCATGCATATTTGCTAACACCAAGTCCAGATCACGGACCGATGTAATTTTAATAACCGGTGGAACCCTGAAATCACTTGAGGTCTGTTTCAACCAATTATCGGAATCATCAACAGTGTACATCCACCACTTTGCCAACAAGAATCAAAGACGGGACATCCGGCGTTTCGCGCGAGCACTCAATCTCCAGGCCACTGAGCCAGGAAACTCTTTGTTTAAAGGTTTCCATTGTATTAAAAATACATATACATAAGATAGAACTGGAGGAATTTAGACTGTCCTCACGACTAGATATACATAACTTTTTATTTTCATGAGTTTTCGTACAGTTCAAACATCTTGTTGCTAAATAAGAAGAAGGTTTTACACCATGGACTATGATAGTTCACGAGGTTAGTCTGCATCCAACGGACAGAATCAATTCAACGAAGACTGAAAAACAGACTTCATTGTCAAGTATCAACAAACATATCACCTACATTCAATATCTTCAAATGACTGCTATCTATTACTTAGTGAGCATTTGTGCCACGTTTGGGTGCTCTAGATTATAATAAAATTGTAACTAAATATCTGCCTGTTATGTACTGATTCCTTACCTGTTTGTAGTAATTTGAGAAGAGTTGAGCTTGAAAACATTAAGGTAAGTACACGGTTCTCAGTTTGGGGTTGTGGAGACTACTGAATTTCATTGAAATCGTGAAAGAATCAATGACAGACCACCGTTGAAAAGCTGGAAAACTTGACGGCTGTTTCGTTCTACTAGGGGACTTCTCAGCAGTGCGCATCCACGATCCCACACATCGCACTCAATCCCAGTACATTGTGTCTCACTCACAAATGTTTAACCTTAAGACAATTGAGCCAGCATTCAACGGTGTTAGTATCTAACTTCAACCAATCCAATAAGTCGATGGATTCAAAGAAGTATATGAACCGAGAATTCAGGGAAGAAAATTTTCTTTTCGGCGAAATCATTTACTTAAGCTGTACATTCGTATTTACAGTTATATGAAAAGTATATATCTATAGAAGGACAGAAAAGATTGCATCATAAACTGATTCATGACTCCTATCTATCAGGCTGGTAGGTGATGGTTGTCGCAGAGTCAGTAACCACACCTTGTAAAAATAACGATGTGGAAGAAAATGCCATGATAGGGTTCCTTGGAGACCACTGGTTAGAGTCCTATCCTCTAAAAGATTTAACGGGCTTCGTTGTATAACGAGCTAACTGATATCCTAGGCGTCAGGTAGTTTTTAAATATTCATTGTTCTACTGGTATTATTTTCACTCAACCATTTACATTGTATGTACATTCCCGATATTAACATATAACTGAACTACTTCATTGAAGCGAACTGCATTTTTGCTTACTGATTAATTGTTATGTTTTTGTAATAAGCCTTGGTTTAAATCACGAACTGATCTCAGCCAGACTACTGCTGTGGATCTGTAAGCACTAGATTGCCCTTTCTTCTCAATATGGAAGTTCTCATCAGTGTATACCCATGACCTTGAATTCGGGAATCTAAGTGTGAAACTTCCGACTCTCACGTGAACTCATAAATGAAACAGTGTTCTGGGGGTTTAGTGTTTTGTGTCAGTAGTTTTATTTTTATTATAAACCATTTCATAATCATTCAGTTTCAATTCAGACAATTAATATTAGAGCCAACATATACTTACAAGCATTATCCGACTACTGTTCTATATTAGACGAGCCGGTTTATAAGTTTCAATATTGATGATTGAAACAGTTTCGAAATACTAGAATAATGTTAGTTTAACCACAAATAAAACGTTTATACATAAATGGGCGAGAATAAAACAGGATACCTATTAGTTATGTATGGATTGTATGGAACAATACGTTATATTAGGCTTGAAGTAAATAACGAAATAAATTTGTATTGTATTTTCCAGTGATATGCATAAAAGTTTCATCTGTATAAGTGTGTTCGCCTATTATTACTTTTTTGAATAAAAAGCCAATTGATTAAATGACATGAACGAGAGGGGAAAATAGTAAATGTTTTATAATTTGGAATGGAATACAATTTATCAACGACAAACTAAGGTCTGTTTCCCAAATGCTTTTTACTCAAATTACTAGAAGTGAGATTATAAATCTCGCATTTATTTTTAGAAAAATCATGGAATAGCATAATATTTATTCTGTTGATCAATTAATAAAAAGCAATAACTGTAGGTTATGAAGAGTAACATTTAGGGAATAAAAATATTAAGCAAGATTACCGGTAACCATAACGTAAATTATTCTATGCTTCATATTCAGATGACATCAAAAACAGGGAATCAGCAAAATTAGAAAGGTACAAAAAATTGTTATTCAAAACTCTATTCAAAAATTCCAATAGTAAGGTCAAAAGTGCAAAGTTTAAAAACATCATGTGACCTAACCAGATGAAATTCTTATATATTAGTAAGCATGACAATTCCTTACTAAAGTAAGAAAATAATTTAAATAATTGAAGTCATTTCACTACGAATACCAGGTCGAACATAGCAGTATGCGATGTCAAAGCGAGATGTTACGATCATTCTGGTTGATGATGATCATGTTTCGGAACTAAATGGAATCATTGTTAAGAGAGAGCCAGGATCCGATAATGAAACAAGTAGTTGTAATCGAAATATAACGTTAATGTCGTACTTCATTCATCGAATGGAAAACATAGTCTTATCGAGATTTAAATTAAGGGAAGCCAGAATTAAGCAATATCGTAAAGAAAACATATTTTACCATATGTATTTTTCAATAAAACTTATTCAAATAATCAATGAATCATAGCTAATTATTATGAGTTAAAAGTTACACTACTCATTAGTAGTAGCTCAAAAATAGAAACCTATTTTTTAGAAGTTTGTAGCGACGTTTGACATTACTGACTGATATGAATTAAGGTCTCTCTGAAAGTCGGTAAGCACAGGAAAGATATTTCGTTCCAGCATAGAAAATCTCTGTGATAACTGTCCTTCATTACTAGACAAATCAAACCCAGTACCTTTGGAAATCATGGAGATTGTTTTGTTTTTAACTAACCAGAATCAACTGAAACAGAGAGATTTAAGATATAGTGGAGTAACGATTTATTGTCACCTGAGTTTCTCTCTGAACATGAAAAGTCATAACCATTCACGAAATCCTAAAGGATTATCTTTATTCATTTCGAAGCTGTTATCTAATGAATAGAAGATAACAGATATTTTTCAGTTAACGTTTATTTTATCCCGGAGCTTAAACCAGAACTATGCGTACAAAAGAAGTACGTCTTATCGTTATCGTTACCTTGGCCTTAATTATTTTGATTATCCTACTATTATTATTATTATCATTGCTGCATTCCCCCTTTACTTATGTCTTATATCCTCATTGTTATATTCATGAACGCTCATCATATCACTTTAATTTTTTACACCTCTATGAGCTTTAATTATTATTACAAAAAAACATTTTAATCATCTTATTATATTCACTAAATCGATTGTTATTGTTATTATTCATATTACGTAATCTTGTATTATAAAGTTTTTTACTAACTGTGTTCACATTTCCTCACGGAATTAGTACTTTTACAAAAACAAAATTTTCATATATATACGATTGTACAACTTGATAATAAATTCGTTGAAAAGAGATCCCTTCGCTGAAATTCGTGTTTTCATTTTAAATTAGTGTCTATCAAGTAAATTTGTTACTTGACTGAAGTTGCAAAAATGTAAATAAATATTCAGTATCCAGTTTTAAAATATGCATACATCTATGTCTTCTAATCCAAATAAAATA